TTATTTATTTAAGTTTATTATTTTAATTGATAGTCAAAATAAATTAGTTAATTAACAATTAATTAAAAATATGCCATTAAATTAATAATTAATTAAAATAAACTATAAAATTATTAATGAGTTAAATTACAAATAAATTATATTTTCATAGATTTAAATAATTTGTCAGAAAATCCGCTGAAAAATTTGTCAAAAATATTTATAAATAATCCGTCGGAAATCCGTCGAAAATTCCGCTGGTAATGAGCTATTTCCCTATAGTGTCTATCTTTAATGACACATCATCATCTCATGAAATTTTATATAATATAAATAAAAAGTGTTCTTATAATATAAAGTTGTTACTAATATAATCATAAGTTAAGATTTATATTATGTTGCATTATTAACAATAATTTCAATTACTATATAATAGTACTAAGGTGATGAAGAATGGACCTATGAACCTATAATTCAAGCCCTAATAAATTTTACTATTAATTTAATTCTTAAAATAAAAAATTAAAATTGTTAATTTCAATATTATTCTACTATAAATATGAAACTGCACTCTTGAAATTATAGTACAATTTACTCAATTTAAAAAATTGAATTGTCAATTGATTTAATCATTACATATAAACTAATTCTCCATAAAAAAATTATAATTAGAGCTAAGTAATTATGTCACCTTACTAATTATATCTTGATCCTTGAATTCCAATTAATTCTAAAATTAACAATAAACTTTGTAATCTTATCACAAAAATTATGTGCTCAATTATTCAAGTTTTGAATTAATTATTCAAGCAAATTAATTTTTTAACTTTTAGTATTGAAAGTAATGAATTCAATATAATATATTAACAGTTATAATCATTTGTTTCATTGTGTTTCTAATATATGAAATATGTCTTCCAAACTATTTTCGAGTAAGTCAAGAAATCAAATATCATAAATAAGAGTTTATTAATATTTCAGAATTAATATTTTTATATATGATCATCTCTATGATTAATTTTACAATCTCTCTAGTTAAATAATTATTAGAAAATTCAAATTTTATCTGGTCTAATTCTATATAATCATATCATATAAAGTACATTCATTCTTAATATCTCCATATCGAGTAATTCGAATAAGTCTATTCCATTCTTAATATTAATAGACCATACTAATAATATTTAATTATTGATTTCAACTATAATTAATAATTATGAACTATTTTAGATTATTCTTATCTTTAATTCAATTCTCTTGTATATAATTCTATACTAAATTATTGTTACATAAATAATTATGGAATAAATATAATACTAAATATTATATCAAAAGATAATATCAGTACATGTTAAACTTATCATTAAATATTTAATTCAACATAAAATATATTGTAATAATATAGATTTAAGGTACATTCTCTAACAATTCATTTAAAAAATCATCTTGAAATAATTATGAGCTTAATACCAACTTGTATTATTTTGGGAGAATTCTAAGTGAAAAACTATGGAGAAAAATAGTTAATTCTTATATACATTTAAGAGTTATAGAGCCAATTATATGGATGAATGTACAAACTCTGTTATAACAAAGGCTTCAAAAAATTTAAAAGACATATCCGCCTTGAAATTGTTATATTTAATTTTTAATATAATTTGTTGAGAAGTTGCTTTGGAGAAATTAACTTAACTATTTGGTTATAAAAAGTTATTTTTTATTACAAAAATTTCTAAAAACAGTGAGAAAACAATAAGAAATCAATAATCAAATAAAATTATGATTATTATCTGAAAAGCAAAACAATGAAAAAGTTATCCCAATCAGACCATTAGTTAACACTATGTGCTACCATTTTCCTAAAAATTTCATAGTTGATCATGTCAAATGAAAGCCATATCATCTTAATTTCAATCAATAAAAACAACCTGGAAGCCAACTCTTCAAAATGAACACTCCAAATCCATGTAGATAGCATAAATTTCAATCATATACAACAGAAGGGAAATTTTATTACAAATTATACATGAATGATAATCTACAATGGCTAAGTCAATCTTGATCCATGAAGAAATTAGAGAGCATTTCCTTTGCTCTTTCACAGTTGTATGAAGACCTGGCCCAATTGATCTCTCAATACAACTATTCCCTCTCCCTTTCATAAGCCAAAGCCAAAAATGAAGAAGAAAAAAATAAAATCCCAACCTTGGTCATAATTGTATGATAGCATAATCATCTCCATAATCTTATCATAAATTCTCAACACAGCCCGTGTCATCATAGGAAGAAGTCCGGGAAGAATTGATTGATTGCAACAGACTCTGCAGGCGAGAACAGCCCATCTGCGGAGCATTGCAACCTCTTCTTAGATTGTTGTAGCATCAGCTCATCAAGCAGATCAAAGGATTGCTTTCTCTTCATTGAACCGAACGCCGACGGAATCAACGGAGAAGAAGCTTGTTCTACCTCGAAATAGTCGTAGCTGAGTCCAAGTTGCGAATTTCTAATGAAGATGGCAGGGTCCAAAACTTCTCCTATGCTCTCCCTTTCCTCGTGAGACTCAAAAGGGTAGCGAAGAAGCTGGTTTTCATTCCAGTCAGGGAAGCTGGTACTATTCATCACCAACTCTTGCCTTTCTTCGCTCTGAGCACTGACAGTGAAGGAAGACTCTGTTGGGCTGCAGGTCTCAGCTTCTTCAACACTTGCAGTTGGCAAGTTGCCTTTCTGCCTTACTCTGCAGAGAACCCATTCGTCCAACTGAGAAAATCAGGCCCAAATTTTAACGTTAGCTTATGAAAGAAAAGAAAGAACAGGAGGTACAAAATTAATTAAATATATAAAAGTTTTGAGGTTTACTCGCATAGATCCTCCCTTCTGCTTCTGAGATTGAGAAGGAGCAATCTTGGAATTCAAGAGACGATATTCCTGCATAATCCATTCGGTCTTAGTGCCCTTCGGTGGCCGGCCCTTATGAAAGACGAGAGCTTTCTTGACGCCGATGCAGTGGGTGCCATCGGCGCTCAAAACAGGCTTATCTGTACCGGTGGCCTTCCAATAGCCCACCCCGGCCGCCCTATTAGGCCGAACACCATTAGGATACTTTCTTTCTCTAGGACTAAAGAAGAACCACTCTCCCTCACCAAAGCAAGCCTTGCCTGCAACAAAATAAAACAAAAATGATGAGGCTACAAAACTATGACTTCAGCGCATTCATGAATTCATGGCCGGCCAATTAAATATTCAATTAGGAGATGATGAAGGAATGATTAATCACCAGGAAGCTCCCATGGATTGAATTTGTAGAGATCAATATCAGCTATAATATCCCAATCTGAAGGCAAAGAAGCAGCGACCTTCTTTGTCAGGTAACAATTGATGAGTTCTTGGTCTGTAGGATGGAAACGAAAGCCAGGAGGTAACTGAGAACTCATGACTAAACCGTTGACTTCCATGAAAGGAAAGAAGGAGAAATACAACAGAAGAGGGAAGATGAAGAAGAAGAAGAAAAGCAATTAGGAGGTAAATGAGTAATGGTGCGTGGTGAGAGCAAGCAGAGCTACTTCTTAAATAAGGAATTTTGTGCTGGGAAGATACGGGGCATGCCTTCAGTTCTTACAAGGCACAGGCCTGCTTTTTTGGCTCCTATGGGATTCTTAGTTGAGTGGTCAACATTTTTCCCTATTTGAATTTTTTGGATATTATTGGAATAAGAGTTTGAACCCCAACTGCATCTCCAGCAAATGACACGTGGCATTTTGAATGATGAAATGCCACGTGGCATGCAAGTGAAGCTGATGAATGAAGGGTTGGGTGTGGTTTGTGGTTTGGATTTGGTTAGGCTTTCGAAGGTGGGAATGAGAGAAATGAGTGAGGACATTAGAAAGAACAAGCTTTAGCTGAACTGCCGATATGCCCAATGAAAAAGTTTTGTACGCGAGTGTGAACCGGCGAGAGGCACAATAATTGATTGAAGCAAACCACTTTTTTGAAATTTACGTAAGGCAAAAGAAAAAGAGATACTATATGCAATTATTTACTGAAAATTTGGCCTTTATCCGCCGACTGCAGGTACAGAGTCGTGGGTGGCCCTGTAGGTCAGCCGGGAATTACGGACCACCAAGCTCATTTGGCTAAGCCAGATATGACAGCGGATGGTTCCTCGGCATAAAAAATAAGGCCTTTTATTAAGCTATCGTGGTTCATTGCACAACTTTTGAAATTAGATTCTTGGTGTCAAGACTTTTAGTAGTTGATACATTGGCTTAGCAACGTCAGAAGCAGTGAACAGAGAAAGTGGGAGGGTTCTCTGTGCTTGAAAACGAAGTGTTATCATGGAACAATTATTACATCCTCCGACCGGACTCAGAGGAACGTCCGGTCGGAGGCCGGACGCAGAGGAACGTCCGATCGGAGGCCAAATCCTGCCAAAAAACGAGTTGTACCGAGCAAATACCGAGCAATACCAAACAATAACGAGGAATACCATCATTTGAAGACCCAATACCAAGTTATACCGAGCTAAACCGAGAAATACCGAGTTATACAAAAGTTGTACCGAGTTTTTCCTAGAAAAACTCGGTACAACTCGGTATTTCTCGGTACAGCTCGGTATAACTCGGTATTGGTATTCAAAGAGTGGTATTCCTCGTTAATATCAAATAATACCTAGTTGTACCAAGCAAATACCTAGTTTTTTGGTGGGATTTTGCCTCCAACCGGACGTTCCTCTACGTCCTTACACTGAACGTAATAAAAGTTCTTTATCATGAGACTAGTTGCTTGGCAGAAGATCAGGAGCACTTCCTGTAACAATAGACTTGCAGCAGAAGAGAATTCTTTTTTTTTTTTTTTTTTTTTTTTTTTTTTTTTTTTTGGTTCTTCTCTTTGTCAATATCATGCAGAGATAAATTCCTGCTTTAATGTCCACTTAGTCAAAAGAGATGCTAACTATATTGCAAGGATGTTATCCTCTCAATCTTGATTTTAAGCATTATCATTCTTTTCAATAAGTTGTTTATTGTTCTCTTCAATTTCCATACGAATAGTTCTCTCTATGTGTAACGCTCGAACCGGATCGGTTACGATTTGGTCTCTCTCTCGCACACACGAGCGAACCGCACTATCTCGTATGTTTCACAGGCGAATGACCCGGGCGGCCCCAGCCGCATGTTCTCCTCTCTCCAATCACGAAAATTTTGTGATTTCACCGCCTTACAAGATTTTATCCCATTATGTATAATTTTTCCTACTCAATCTCCTTCCATGTCCTCTCAATTTATGAAGGGTTGGAGGCTAGGGCACTCTTTAATATTGTTCTTCACTTGCCTCTCTGCAGTCACCAAACCTCTTTCTCACTCTTCTCCCTCGTAGCCGCCATTTGATTATTTGGCAAAACCAGCAATTATCTTCTTCAATTTTTTTTTCTCTCCTTCAATAGTAAACTCCTTCATATTCTCTTCTCTCCTCCCGCTCTTTTATTTTTTTCTTTATGTTTATCAAATTATATATAATCATGTTTTCCTTTTTCATCTTTTTTACTAGTTTTGATTGGTGGGAATGTTATTTCAGTTTTATCTTATTATTATTATTATTATTATTAGATTGGGTTGCTTAGGGAGGAAGTCTTATTTATGTATAATGTTCGAATTAATCTGACCCTATATTATCTTTTAGACTTGATTAATATATATAGATACAAGCTTGAATTTTGTAAACCTTATGTTGCAAGCATTGACAAGATTCTTGTTTGTAGGATCTTCTAGTCGTTTCCCTCGTAGCGCTGTCAATTGATTATCTTGAAGGCTTGGAGTTTTGTGTCATTTGCTTAAAGGTAATTAATTGTTATTTATTTTGGTATAAACATATATTTCTTTGTTAGGGGCATTATTCTTGTTTCTTATGCTAGACTTTGGGATATTAGCATTTTTTATAATGTAACTATAAAACCTATTAAAAAATGCTTATGGAAATTTTTGAAAAATAATTTGATCTTGTGCGTTAATGTGTATGTCGATAGAACCATATTAGTATTGGCTAGCTGAGGCGGACGGTACCCTAGAGTGATGACTCTACAGAAAATTACTAGAATTCATTGGGTTAGTGCTTACTTTTTCAATGTATTGGATAGGATTTAAAAATAATAAATGGCTGATAAATCATTTTAAGGTACAAGGATACCTAGTGTAGTGCATTTTAAGTATTAAAATATTTTAGCATCAATAGTTAACTGATATATACACTAGTATATTATAATTTGTTATAATAATCATGGCATATTTCATAGCTACTTTCCTTTAGTGACTATAGGTTACTACTCACTTTTTCATTGTTCATAATACATGCTCCAGTTCTTTGTTGTTTTTGCTTTGAGAAATAAGAGTTATTTACTGAATTTGATTTATCAAACTCACCCGTTGTCTCTTCTTACAACTGGTACTGCAAGTGTGCTTAGCGGACCGTTATTTCATGAGCAGAGTTACTAGCAATAGACTATTTTTGATCTTTTATATTTTATTGTAGTTATTATGCTTTTAACTCCGAGGGTTTTGTAATTTCTTTCATGTCATATATCCTATTTACATTCATTTGCTTGTATTAGTATCATTGTTTGAATGTATTGTCTATTTGAATTTTATTAAAGAATTAAAAATTTAATCTTCACTTTCTATGGTTACTTTGGTGTATGCATATTATGTTGTATATTGGATATGCATGTCTCTCTTTGTAAGTACAAAAGTCTTTACATCATTTCATTGCATCCTGTGTTGTTGGGGTGTATCGCCTTCCGAACCCAGGGTATAACACCATGGCTCTTGTCAATATCTTTGGAAAGGATTTGAAGGAGGAAAAATAGTTGATTGGCCACTAGTAATAAATCACTTATACTATCATCTCCTTAAGAGTTTAGATCAATTGGAAAGACATTTTTCATGTTGTGGTAGGGCAAAAATTGACTCTTGTATGATGAGCAAAATCTTTTGCATGAGTTCAATTGAAAAAGGGAGAGAGATACAGAGAGGGAACTTTAAAAGTTCTCCAAAAAAATTTCAACATAAGAACTAAATGGAATTTCTTTAATAAATCAATAACAGCTAGATAAATCATTAATATCCATAAGAAAAACTAATAATCACTATCAATAAAAAATATAACTGCTACTAAACCTTAATCAAATCTATATGATTTTATCCACTAAAAAGACAATATATACATTACGCTATTCGTTACAAATTTCATAATCACACCATTAAAAATTTTAAGCTGCACAATAACATCTAATGCAATATAAGTGCAAAAATAACAAATCTTTTGTTGAAATTAACATATCAACTCCATCTCAGAACATCATAGGGTACAAATAAATCTATAAAATAAAGCTAAATTCATATGGCACAATGGGTAGATCCTGATGACTAAGATAAATAGACTTCATTGATTTTACTGTAGCTCATTACAATGAGTTAAATAGACTAAGATAAGATATTACAATTTACTCTATTACCCTTAACCGTTGGAAAAGTGCTCGGTGTCAGGTTAGTGGAATGTGAGAGTTTTGCAGAAGTCGGCGGGCTCTGCTCCAGTGGCCTGAGTGAGTCGGAGCTGCTTTCCACGTCACCGTCCCTCAAGCTGATGGTTGGAACAACCAGAAGCTTGTTACGAAGAGCTAGTAGACGTGCGAAGGGGAGCGATTTTGTAAGAATGTCTGCGGGCTGATCATATGTTGATATGTGACGAACTGTAATTTGTTTGGATTGAATGCAATCTCGTATGAAGTGATGATCCACTTCGATATGTTTCGTCCGAGCATGGAAAATAGGATTGCACGCAATGGACATAGGAGAGACATTGTCACAGAACAATTCGGTAGGCGATAGCGGGATTTGAAATTCTTCGCAGAGGCGTCGAGTCCAGATGAGATCAGCAGCGGCCGCGGCCATGGACCTGTATTCGGATTCTGTAGACGACCGGGCTACAGTAGTTTATTTTTTAACTGACCAAGAGAGAAGAGCAGCGCCTAAGAAGATGCAATAACCTGTAGTGGACTAGCGATCAAGTGAATCACCGGCCCAGTCTGAATCAGAGTAGGCAGACAGCTGTAGCTCTGTTTTAGGAAGAAAAAGACAATGGTGTAGTGTGCCCTTCAAGTAACGCAAAATGCGTTTGAGAAGTTGAAAATGTAGTAATAGGGGATTGTGCATATGTTGGCACACTTTGTTGACAGCAAAGGCGATATCTGGCCTTGTTGACGTTAAGTACTGGAGCGAGCCAGCAAGTTTCCTGAAGAATTCCGGTTGAGAGAAAGGAAGCTGCAGGTTTGGATCATCTGGATACTTAGAGGGAAGAGGTGTAAGCAATGGTTTGCAATTGGTCATCGAGGCAGTATGCAGCAAATCCTGAATATATGAGTGTTGATGTAGTTGATAACCGGCCGAGGATCGGACAAAATCAGTTCCTAAGAACTTGGAGAGATGACCGAGATCTCTGGTTTGAAATTGTTGTTGTAGACTTGTTATTAAATTGTGGATGAAGGAGGTATCGCTGCCGGTTATAAGGATGTCGTCAACATATACTAAGAGGTATATGTGAATGTGGTTGTGATGATAATGAAAAAACGAAGGATCGGCCGAGCTGACTTGGA